TTCCTCTTAATCCCTCCCCAGTTTCTGATGAGGTGGACATGATAACCCTTAATACACATAACCTTATTCATCCCTACAACAGGAAATACTTTTTCCCTAACCTGATATGAAGTGTGCGCTGCACATGTGAGCATTTTTGATGATGGCCTCCGTCCAGTCCTTTGGTCTTATCACATTTAACCATAGTTGTCTTTGTTTTTGTTGACGGGCAGTGGCGGCTGATTTTGAGCCATGACTCCTTCTATTCTGGCTCCCAATAACACAACAAGACAAACACATTTTAACACTCCTGTGGAGCCTACAGCCCTGTGGGGGAGAGGCAGCTGCACCTCCAGCTGATAACATGATGTCATTGTGATGTCATCGTGATGTCAGCCCTGAAAGGGTCGATACCAAAACTTTTTTTATTCCTCACTCATGTTTTCCCACCAACACATTTTATTTATTGAACCAAATCAGCTGTTAAATGTCTGACGAGACGCCAAGCGAAAACCAAAACTGGATAAATTAAGATTTAAATCAGGAAGTCAACAAAATCATGTTTCGGAAATTTGATGTCAATTATCAGAACCTGATTTTAAACTCTGAGCTACAGACACATTTAGTACCAAAGAAGATATAAAATTTCTATACCCAGCCTGATCACGCTCCATGATGTCTGCAAAACGAAAAAGTCTAACACAAACATGATGTCAGACTGTCACTATGGTTACCAGGCTGTCCTGTCGGCAGCGTCCCTTGGGTTCACCTTCTGGAGACACAGTGTTTGAATTTCAGGGTAATCTCTCATGTGTGTCGAGAACTTTCACTCTGGAACAAAATCCCAGACTGACCGCCGCCCGAGTCTGACAACACACCTGTGACAGGTTTTCATTTACCTCCTGGTGCATCATGACATCACTGTTAAAGAAGAACACCACGTCGCGGTTTCAGACTTCTTACTAAGTCACACATGTCCGTCTGTACATCCATCAGTCAATTGGTCTTTATTGTCTTTAGACCTTGCGCAGGTCAAGTTTGGCGATGTACGGTGAGCGGAAGGAGCCCATGTACAGGCTCCCATCATGCTCGTGGACTTCACTGACGTAAGCCACCACCAGGCCGTTGGGGTCGTGGAAGCTCCGTGTGCAGACGCCACCTTCATGGAGCTCCGCCACCAGGCTGTACCGAGGGACGAACTTCACCAGGACGTCCTGACTGAAGAGCTGCAGAGGAGGGAGGAGGGAAGGAAGGAAGGAAATAGGAAGCCAGGATAAAGGTTACAAAGACGGAAAGAAAGTTATTACATCACAGGATCTGAAAATCAAACTCTGCAGAACCTTCTTGGTTTGTTCAGATTTCCTGGTCTGAAAAGTGTCGGATGTAAAAACTGCAGGACTCCTGGAAAACATTTACAGCCTCTCAAAGCTCCGCCTCCACGAGACAACAGACAGCCAATCAGACGACAGGACATTCAAGACTGTTGTTTCTTATGATGAACACAGTTACCGTCTCTACAAGGACACATGCAGGTTATGACACCTGCGGGTCACTATTGTTTTTAACAGGGCACCTGAGAATTTTTAATGTCTCTACGAGGACACCTGTTAGCCATTATGGTCCCTACGAGAACACCTGCAGGTCGTTATCGTCCCTACGAGGACACCTACAGGTTATGATCGTCTCTACAAAGACACCTGCGGGTCACTATTGTTTTTAATGGGGCACCTGAGAATTTTTAATGTCACTAAGAGGACACCCACGAGGACACCTACAGGTTGTTATCGTCTCTACGAGGACACCTGTTAGTCATTATGGTCCCTACGCGGACACCTACAGGTTGTTATTGTCTCTTTGAACATAGCTCATCTACACTGATCGGTGCTTCACACTGATTGGCTGATCTGGAGACCAGCGTCTCCTGAACTAAGACATAAAAACTTTCTGGGTCCTGAAAGTTTCCCTGAAGGTCCAGGAGCAGCTGGACCTGGACCTGGTCTGTCTCTGTCTCTGTGTCTTTTCACCTTGAAGATGAGTTTCTTGATCCAGGGTCTCTGGGACAGGAAGTCCAGCATGGAGAAGCCGGGGTTGGGCCGCACCGCCGACATGGCCACCCAGTAACCTCCGGTCGAGCTCGGGCGGATGTTGTCAGGGAAACCGGGCAGGTTGTCGATGAACGTGTCCATCCCACCTTTATTCAGACCGGCAACGTGGACTCTGATACAGAAACACAAAGACGTGTCCTCTGAGACAAAGAGTGAGGACACAACAGTTCCAGTCTGTCCTCACACAGTCTGACTGGTGACCAGAAATAATATTAAATAATATAAAATATGTCATCAGCAGTTTAAAAGTGCTTCATGGTGGAACTGTTTATTTTATATTGAGTGTATTTATCAACCAACTCTTTACTTTGTCTAATTTTATTTATATTGTATTTAACAAATCACCTTTCATCTTCTTTTGTTTGTATTTTACTATTTTCTTAAATGTTATTTTATCTGGAACTTATTTGTTGATTTATTTCTCTGTATAAACAGATAATAAAAACAACACAGTTAAACAGCTGTAATAATGTCCTCATATCTGTTTACACCTACGCTGATGTGTTTTATATAAACCAGGTATATATAGTGAACACAGAGCCTGGACAGGTCGGGGTTAAATAATAAAACATATTTATACAGTCAAACAGTTCAAATTGTCTCTGTCACAGCAGGTAGGATGAAAATAAGCTGACGAGTCCACTACACCTCCCACTGACCCACACACACACACACACACACACACACACACACACACACACACACACACACACACTTCATGTGGGTAGAACCAGGCCGGCAGCTCGTTTCCGTGGCAACAAAGAGAGCCGACATCTTCATCTATCACAGAGATCGTTACATAACTTTCATCATATATACTGTTGATTGACATTTGTAATATATATAACATCATGTGACCTTTAGCACATGACCACATAATTTTCATCATCTGTATACACACACACACACACACACACACACATACATATAGACAGATCAATATAGATCAGATAGATTTAAATAACCCTTTGTCAGATACTACGGAAGCGCATTGCATTCACTGGATAAAAAAAATTAGACACCTTATCTCGTAATTACGAGATCCTTATCTACACATATAGTAATTATAATTTCTATTTTTGTTTCATCATGTGAAGCAGTTTGAATCAGGCTGTAACTTGAGCTGTCACACCTGAGCTGACACACCTGAGCTGACACACCTGAGCTGTCACACCTGAGCTG